TGTATTGACTTTAGATTTTATTATAATGAATAGTTTTGTATAGTCTACAGACTTTGTCTTCTCACTGTTCATCTGCTTTTGCAGAGTGCTTTTATGAATATGTTGAATACTACAGGTCTTTGTAGAGATCCTTAGGGAGCTATGCTGGAAACCTTGCTCTGTTAAGAAAACTCACTGCTGGTCTGATGCTTTGCTTCATCTCTTACTAATCGCAAGAGAATGTTCAGCTTAGTCTGTATCAGCTTCGCTTAAAGAGGTTTTAGTGAGTGACTTTGCTGAGAGATTTTGGGAAATCAAAGTTTGCTTTGTCAAACTCTAATTTATAGTGCTGTTGATAGTGGGTTTTGTCGGTCTCTTGCAAAATTTTTCTGGTTTATTCCATACTTTAAAAAACCTTTGTAGGGGTGTTGTTAAAGAAGACTACCAAAGAAAAATGAAGAGTGTGCAATAATTATGCCATTGCTAAACAATGTTCTTTATTTTGTACTTCTGTACAGTGATCACCTCTATTTTCTGGAGTCACCATTTTGAATTTATCAGCAGCTGGTTTGCTACTGAAAAGCTCAGAATATTTCCTCTGGTTGCCTTCCTGTGAGTATGATTAAAGTAGTTACCTCAGATTTTCTTGCCTGTGGTATTCAGAAGGTTTTCCTGTATTAGTTTTTTTTGTATTGAGGCTTTTATATTGGAATTTTTTTCCCTGTGCGCTTGCTTGCTGCTTTGGGGGCTGAGCCAAATGCCTCTGAAGATCAGTGGACATTCCTGCAGTCAGATCCTTGACTCCTATTCCTCTGCGACCGCTGTCACCAGAGATTACTTTCTTCAGAACTGATAGTAGATTTGAAGGATTTCATCTTGAATTTTATCTTCAAATCAAAATCTTTGAATTTTATGGTAATCATTTTGTGGGTGTATAGCCATTCTTTTAATAGCTGTATTTATTTCTCTGCTGGATTTCAACAAGCGTTTTGTTTGCAATGGGAGTCTTAAATCATATTTACTTGCGTTGAGATAATGTGCTGGTGTCTGGTTTTGTCTTCTGTTCTTTTTTAGAGCAAGCAGGCTCTGAAGAGTCTGTGAGAGTCCAAGTAACTATGTTTACTGACTATTTACAAAGTGTAAGACTTAAACATTTTTTACAAACATTGTTCTTTCACTGCCAGAACAAGTGAGGGCTCACAAACCATTTAAAGGAAGTGTTTATAATATATGTAAACTTCAGCCCCTCAATATACGGAAATTCCAGACTGGAGACAAACCAAGGACTAGCTCTAAGTTTAAGCAGCGCCTATAACAGCAGACTGATGGGGTCAAAAATACTGCACCACGTTCAAGGCAACTTCCTTAGATACCATCATCTTCAGTTAATTCAGGGTACAGCGAGCTGCTTATTCTCACTGATGAATGACCATGTTCTCTGTGTGCCTGTACCTCTGCTCCATTTTTCCTCTTTTTGGCAAGACCAGCGTGGGGGAGGAGCGAGACGTGGCAGCAGGCTGAACACTGGTTGCATTGCCTTTCTCTCCAGCAGCCTTCCCCCCATCAGGAATGCTGGGTCTGGGCCCATTTTAGCTGTTTTTGTCATTGTCCTTGGGGAAGCGAATTTAACTTTGCCTACACTTCTGAGAAGGTTTGTGCAAATGCTGAATGGGCTGATAATTGTTGCAGGCTGTTTTCTGCCCTGGTTGCTGTTTCAGAGTTCTGCATTGCTTTTGAGCCTTTGTAGGGGGAGTATCTAAGACTGGAGCCAGATAGAATCTGGGATTTCCAGTTTGTAGGAAATGGCGATATTCCAAAATTAGGATTTTTTTGTTTGTTTGTTTTGCTTCAGAACCAGTCTAAATGTTCTAAAATTTCCTATGGAACACTTTGTCAAGTGAGATTGCTGAATTTAAGTTCCCACATGCTTCCTTGGGTGGTGCATTTATGAGGTACCTAAATTCCTTACAAATTTGAGGTACCTAACTTCCTCCCCCAAAGACAGGGAGGTCATACTGTCCAAAAGCAAATGGGATCAGAAATGCAAGTGTTCTCCCCCTATCTCCTTAGGATAGGGTAGTCAAAGACAGCAGTGACTGCCCTCCAGAGTTTTTCTGACAGCTCAGCAACTGGATTTGTATTTGTAGACATGTCTGAGCATGCAGACTGTGGTGTTGAAAGAAGGCACTTCAGTCCCTCAAAACTGAGACTCTGCTTCAGTGTATTTTTGAGTTGGTGTTGGTGCCTTATTTTGATGCATAAATTGCATCTGAAAATCTGTCCTTCAGGGAGTCATTCATCTCCTCTAAGTGTAGGATGCGGGGTGAGTGTCAGCTGTCTCATGCTGAAGTCCCTATGGTGCTTGCACAGCACTTGTCAAAGTGGTGGAAGAATTCTGTCACCAAGAAGGAAAGGCAAAATCTGATAATACTTTCTATACTTAACCTCCTTTTTCACATTGTAAAGCTGGCCGAATAGGAGGATGGTCTTTAGGGGACATGAATGAAAATACAATGAAAAAGGCCATTAGTTGCCTTTAGAAAATCATTAAAGCACATGGTGTGGATCAATACACTCATTTGGAAAGGAAAAAACAATCATTATGTCTGGAAAGTACTGGAAACAAGGAACATCTCTTTATCTGTGTATAAAAAGCAGTAATATAGTTTAGTATTATCATGACAGTCCTATAACTCTTCTGTTAGTTCTTCAATACAGCTAAATCTGGCTTTGGAAGACAATCTGAGACATGCTTATAGAAATTACTTTCAAAAATAAGTGATACCCTATATAGTTAAGATTCACAGTCACTGGCTAGTGATGATTGTTTTTTATCTTCCTTGGAAATGTACATTTTTGCCTCTGAAGACATTTTTCCGTGGCTTTATTGTGATGAATTAAACTGAGATGAGTGTAGGGTCGTCTTTCATCTGTCCTCTCTGCTGCTTGGAAGAGGAGGTGCAACACTTAATCTTGCCCGAGTTTCCCTGTAGCTTCTGGGACTTCAGGTGACCTCTATATGCAGCCAGGACACTTTTTGGTAAAAGTTCTTTTTGTGAGAGATGAGAACCTGCTGGGTTTTGTGTTGCATTGCATTCCTGAAGAGGTGTTAAAGATAACTATTTGGACTTTTGTTTAGTTTAATACCAGGGGATCAAGCTTGGAAAGTAGTAGTGTCGTTCTTCCTGACGCAATTCACAGTCCCATGAAAATGTGACGGCTGTCTTTGGCTGCCGAGCCCAATTGGTGGGCATCATTTGCTAGAAAAATCTTATTGCTTGTCAGAAATTTGGAGCTAACAGGCAGCTGAAACAAAGAAAACCAGAGCATCGTTTAGATATAGAAAGTTATGCTTCATTTAAGGGTGAACCAAAACAAGTAAACCTGCTGTGACTCATCCAAAATTTTGGATGAAGAACATTTTTTATTTTCCAGGAATTATACCACCTAGGAATTGTAAAACTGACACACTGAGCAGTTGAAGAGAAATCTGCTTCTAATAAACCGTGCCTTGCCAGACAGAGGTTTAAGAACATTTAAAAAAACAAAAAAAAAAAATCTGAACAAGCAGAAGGATCATATGTAGGGGCAGAGTCACTGCTGTGCTTGGAGTGAAGGGAGTGGAGTTGATTATCTGCATCTTCCCAGTAGGTAGAGAGCAGATATAGCTCGCTGGAGAGGATGTGGCAGGAGCATGCTGCGCTTTGGCTCTGTTCGCTGGCAAGGAGTCCATCAGAGAGCAGTGCCAAGCACAGCTTAGGCACAGCAGAAGCTGCGTCTTACTGTCTTCTGCGCAGTATTAACCTTCTAAGGCAGGAAATGTGTGTGCTGAGGGAAAGATAGGCTGGGATTCTTCAGTCTTCATTGACAACTGCTCTTTCTCATCTCAGTCACAATAAGCTCTCCTGTCACTTTAAAACTGCATTACTGATACTGCTGCTTTGAACTTCCCAGGGATGTTGTTCACTTGGTGTATGTAAGCTTAAGGAGCAGACCAATCTCTTTCTGATAAATGGGGCCAGTTATTCAGAACCCTGATAATCATTATACTATGCAGCATTAAAAAAAGAAACAAAAAGATCTTCCCTGCTTCCCAGGATGTTGTGAGATTTTACTTTTCTACATTTTGGTGATGCTTGCAGGTCGTAGGATGAAAGAGCCTTGGTCAAATACTTCTAGATCATCTGGAAGTGGGAAGTAGCTGAAATCTCAGAAGAAAATCTTGTCTCCAGCTAATATTGTAGACTCAGGTGCTGTGGAGGGTAACCTCAGAAGCACACCACCACTGTTAGATGTTTGTCTGAACTGAGCTTGAACTCCCAATCTCTGGAAGTTCCTCCATGCCTGTTTTCCAAGAAGAGCCTGATCTTTGCAGCTCTTTCTCACACAAGCGCTGCAGGTTTGGAGCTGCTAAGTCTTTGGCCTGACTCTCACTTTCACTAAAGTCCCTTTACACAGCTCAGGCATTCTTCTTTGGGGGTCTTAAAATGAGAGTAGATGACATTTAATAGCATAAATGAGAAACAGGTCCCTTAAAAAAAAAAAAAGGGAAATTGGCATTCCCTAAATTGTTGAGTGCTGACCTTAAAAAAGCCCTTAAAGTCTCTGCAGACAGATTGAAATTTTTTTAGGAGAACAGATATCCCAAACTGCAAGAGATTACCTGAGGCAAGTAAGTTGTGGGTTTTTTTTCTTTTCTTTTTAAGAGAAAATTCTTTTCCATTACACTTGTTACCCACATATCTGTCTTAAAGCACTATTTATTTGTCATGGAACTTCAGAACAGCTGGCGTAATTTTCTCACCCTTCTTTAGGATTTTTTTTTTAAATTTACTAATTTTAAACATTTTCATATATTCTGGTTATGTGAAACATGTTAAAGATTCTGTTTGTATTTTGAATATTGGGTTTGTTTTTTTTTTTAATGTGGGAGGCAATGTTTAAATATGTTTTGAGAAGCGGGGGAGGCAAGAAAAGCTGTCATCCATCAACTGGTATTAAGTCAAAATTTGAAGGTTTGATACAAACTGAATCTGACTGTTAGTGCAGACGTGATACAAATTAGCTGTGACTTTGTGATACCAGCTGTTTCTCTGACAGGGTAAAAGGGCACATAACTAGAATAGCATCTTTTGTTGAAAGCAGTGCTTCCCTTTGTTAAATGTGGGAGCCTCAGGCAAAAAATTGTAGTCCTTAGTTATGTGACATGTGCAGTCTGCAACATGTTTGTGGAGCTCGGGGGCTTTTTACTGATGTTTTTCAAAGACAAGGGTTATCATAAGTGTTCTATTTTCACTAGTTTTATCACTGAAAGACAAATCTCTGCCATGTTTTTGCCTTGTGTTAAAACTGAGGATAGTCTAAGCGCTATTTTCCTTATAAGTACAAAGAAAACACTGAAAGCAAAACCTGAGAAAATTCTGCAAAAAAGAAATCACAAATCTCAAAGTAAAATTTAATTTAATGAATTATTTTTAGTAATTGATTCCCTCCAGTTATTTTTTTATTACCAGAATTTTCAGGGGGTTTTATTCCATACAAACTGAGTCTACATAGTCTTTAACAAACTAACAGCCAGCGTTAACTGAACGTAGTTTATTGAGGCAGCAGAT